TGTGATACTTCAGCATAACAGGGAATAAATGATCTTCTCAATATATCATCTGAGTTAATTGGATATACAAATGGAAAATAATATAATTTGACTCTAACCTCATGCTCTTTATAAAAACCGATTCCAACTAGGTTCATATAAATAAAAGATAAAATAATAAAGATTTTAGATGAAAGGAGAATTTCTTCATAATCAAGATTTTAGATGATAGGAGAATTTCTTCATAATCAAGTTGTATGCAAATATCTCTTAGAATGCAAACAACATAATCATAAAGAAAAAATAAATTGGACTATATTAAAATTAATTACTTCTGTTTATCAAGGGACACCAATAAGAGAGTGAAAAGTTAACCCTCAGAGGAGGAGACATTTTCCATGTGACATTATACATGTCACAAAACACTTGTATACAGTATACATAAGACCTTTCGAATCAAAAAAGAAAAAAACCCAAGAGAATTGAGAAGATGTATCGCAAAACATACATATATATAAATAAATATGTGAAAATGTTTTCAACATCATCAGGACAATTTAAACTTGACCTACAGTGTGTTACTGCAGCCAGAAGAGCTCAAATGAAAGAGCCTATAACCAGAATTCTCATACCCAGCGTTATCACAACAGGGCAACCATTTAGAAAAACTAAAGCTGAACACATGCAAAACCCAGAACCCTCAAATTCTACTACTAAGCATATATTCAAAAATATGAGTATATACATTCCACAAGAGGCGTGTATAAGAATGTTTATATCTCCACTATTTTTAAAATATCAAACTGGAAATCATCTAAATGGTTATTAACAACCTAAATGCCCATCAACAGAAGGTTGGATAAAGAAGTTATGGTTCATGTATACAATGGAATATTATTCGGCCATTTAAAAAAATGAAATCCTACAATTTGCAATAACATGGACAGAGTTAGAGGTTATTATGCTGAGTGAAATAAGTCAGACAAAGAAAGATAAATGCCATATGATTTCACTTATATGCAGAATCTAAGGAACGAAAAGAACAAACTAATCAAAACCAGACTCACAAATACAGAGGACAATCTAGTGATGGCAAGAGGGGAGGGGGACGAGGGGGCTTGAAGAATGGGGTGAAGGGTTAAAAAAATACAAATTAGTAGTTGATAGACGGTCACAGGGATGGGGAGCATGGCATAGGGAATGCAGTTAGCTCTAATGTAATGGCTAGGTGGAGAGCCAGAGGAGAGAAAGAGCAATTAGGGGGGTCATTTTATAAACTATATAAATGTCTAACCAATGTACTATATACTTGAAACTAATAAAATAAAATTAAAAAAATAAATGATTATTAACAGTAGACTAGGTGAATTGTGATATGTGCATCAGTGGCATATCAGCAGCAATGAGAACTAATGTGCTCCTGTCCATCTCTCTGTCCCTCCCTCTCCCATGGAGGATCTGGAGTGTCTAGTGCAGTTATCGCATGTCTGTATTACTGTCATGTTAGGTGTGTATGAAGGGGCAAGGGGATAACTTTCTCACACTCCCAGGTCTTCAGATTGAGAGGACCAGAACACGGGGAAGTATATCCAAGGCCTCATTTTCACCTGGACCTCATTTAGATAACAAGATCTTGGACACTGACCTGATGGTTGCAATGGAGTAAGATTCTGAGGCTCTTGGGAAGGAGTGAGTCTGTTTTGAATGTGGGAAGAATGTAAATAATTGGTGGCAAATTAAAGAAAGCCAAAAATTCTTTGCTATTCTTTCTATGGAGAGATGGAGCTTAACTTCCTTCCCTTAATCACTGGCCTGGCCTCAGTGATTTGTTGGACATACAGAAGAAAGTAAAAGAGAGATTCTAGGATTTCTAAAGCTAAGTTTTATAAAAACCATGCAGCTTCCACCTTGGCCTTTTAGAATTTCTGCTTTCAAGACACCTCCTTTCATAAACTTGCTGCCATGCTGTGAGCAGCGTAAGTGACACGAAAGGACCAGGTATAGATGCTCAGACCTAACAAATGAATGGAGAACGCATGAGTTATTAAAGAAATGATGCTCATAAAGCTAGCTGTGTGAAATACCAAAAATAAAGGTAGATCCTTTTCTCTCATGGTATCACAACATAAGTTGCAAGTAAATTAAAAAATTTAAATGTAGTATTTAAAACTTAGAAAAAAATAACTAAATAGATTGCCCTAATCTATGACAGGGAAAGAACTTTTCAGTATAAAAGTAATGGCAAAAAATCACAAAGCCAAATATCTGTCAATTTTGACTATCCAAATAATTTTTAAAACTTCTATACATATTGAAATAGCAAGGACAGAAAAAAAAAAAACCACTGAGTTAAGTACTTAATTTTGTTTTATTCCCTTTAATATTCATTTAAAAAGGTACAAACACCCTAATAGAAAAAAAACAAAACAAAACACCCTAATAGAAAAAAAAAAAAATAAAGAACGACAACTATATTAACAGGATAATTTGAGGAATAATTATCCGTGGTTAAAAACTAGATAAAACAGATATTCAATCTTACTAGTAACCAAAGACATGCAAGTTAGAACAATGAGATTATTTTATACCTATGAAATTGCTAATGATTAAAACCAGCAATGACACTGGGACAAAGGGTGGTGGTTAAGAGTACGGGCTCTAGCGTCATGCAGGCCTGGTCTGGAATTCCACCCCCACCTTTTAGTGGTAGTATGACCTTGGTCAAGTCATTATCCTCACTGGGCCTCAGTTTTCACGACTGTACGTTCTAAACTTGTTGTATTATTGAGATCATGTAATGAAAGTATCCAATAAGGACTAGCTAGTATTAATAAAAATACAGGAGATGTAATATTTTTAGCAGCTGCTGTGTATCTGACATTATGGCTAGTGCGCTTTATACAGGCTGCCTCATTTAATTGAGAGTTTAGGAACCGAGGGGATTGCTTCATATGAGGATTACTCTGCTTTGGGAAATCACCAGCAGAAACAGTCATGTTATAATATGTGGTCTTGACATCTCCCTCAATCCAGTTTTACCCAGGGCACTAGACAGGCATTAAAATGTCCAGTGCACAGGCAGGGGGCCCAAGAGGGCTGCTGGTCACGCTAAAGTGCACTGCATCCCAGTGAGAGGCTTCGGAGTCATACTCCCAAGACCCACCTCTGAGACCTTAACCCCTGGAAAAGAGATGCCCTCAGTTCCCCCAGGACCCAACCTGAGTTGGCTAAAGAACAGGCTGCACAGTGACACTGAGGTTGGCTCTAATGAGCGCTTGGGGGGATGCTGTCCTAGGAGCCTTTAAAACCCTAAGAAAGACTCCGATCTTCTCCGACCCAGGGAAGCTGGAAGTGAGTCATACTCTCCAGGTGTTTCTAATGAACCCTGGATGCAACAGACCCCAACCGTACTAAGTCAGTTTCTCTTTGTGAATTTTCCATCCAGAGGAGAGAATCTGAAGATGTCTGAAACCAATCCATGCTCAGACAGGTGAGAATCTGGAAGGAGTGGGGGACACACACACATATACCATCATAGCCCAACGACTTGGTAAAAGTTCTTGGATAGATGATCTGAGTCTCTAAGATCAGAAGCCTCTTTATAAACCAAAGAACACTAAAGCACTAAACATTCACAGAAGCTGCCAAGGTCACACTTTCTACAAGGCCAATATGAAATGACCTCTCATACCAGCTTGCTCTGAATCCTAGGAGATCAGAAGAACACAGTGGCTACTTTCAGGCCCAGAAACCAGAGCCTGGTTCCTTTCACCTTTCCTTCCTCTGATGGAAAGTAAATATCAAAGCAACATAGAGCAAGTGTAGGGGTGCAAAGGGCATAGGCTTCTGAGTCAGGCATACCTGCATTTGACTCCCACTTGCTAGCTATCTGATATTGAGAACATCAAACATCTCTGAAATTCAGTTTCAGCATTTGCAAAGTTGTTGAGAATAATACCTACTTAATAGCCCTGTGAAGAATAAAACAATACCATCAAGGTGTCTATACTTATAGCATGCCTCTGCAAATAGGTACTGATCATGATGATGCCCAAGAGCTCAGGGGGACTGAAATGTCAGTTCCCAGAGCAAATACAGGTGCTGAGGAGCAAAAGGGGAAGTGAATAGGGATGAAGGAGGGCGATGGAAGGGTGCAGCAGCCCCTGTCTTGTTTGTGGAGGGAGGTCCTAACAGTGGATGGGGAGAATGGGACATTGCTGACCCTCACTGCCTCATCCTACGTATCCTATGCCTCCAGTTAGGGAAGAATACAGGCACAGGAGCTGAATGGATGAGGTCAAGTTCTAGGATTTGGAAGGCAAGCAGAGAGGAAGAGAGGAGGTTATCTTGTCCTATCATGTGTGTGCGTGTGTGCGTGTGTGCGTGTGTGTGCGTGTGTGTGTGTGTGTGTGTGTGTGTAGCAGTGATGGAGGGGCAGTGATGGAAATTATGCACTTCTTTTTCAATTGGTAAGCATAAATGACTTTTTCAATCCTGCCTTCAAGTATATGCTCCATTGTCACCTCCTCCAATAGTGTACACTGACTTCTCTGGTCAAACTGATCCTTTTTTCTCTGGACCTTATGATAGCATAGAAAACAAAATTTGTATTTGAATAGAAATTATTGTGACTCTTCTCTAAATGTCCCATGGGTACTTTCTTTCTATCTTTTTTTAATTATGTTCATTTTGTTTTTATTAATTATAGTTGACATACAATATTATATTAGTTTCAGATGTACAATATAGTGATTAGACATTTCTATAACTCACGGAGTGATCCCTCTGATAAGTCTAGTACCCACCTGACACCATACATAGTTATTATAAAATTATTAACTATATTCTCTATGCTGTACATTACATTTCCATGGGCATTTTCTTACATCCCCAAGGAGATCCAGAGATACTCATTGGCAAGGTCCACTTATTCTCCTTTTTCCCAGCATATTTCTGGCTATAGAGATGCATATCTGTAAATTGATTTGATAATTAAATATTGACACACAGAAAGGTTTTATCTGAACAGGTAATGAGAACTACAAGGGATGGGGAAACCAAACAGAGTGAACCAAACGGTTGTTTCAGACTTCCTCCTTCTAGGACTCTCTGAGCAGCCCGAGGAGCAGCCTCTCCTGTTTGGCATCTTCCTGGGCATGTACCTGGTCACCATTATGGGGAACCTGCTCATCATCCTGGCCATCAGCTCTGACCCACACCTCCACACTCCCATGTACTTCTTTCTGGCCAACCTATCATTAACTGATGCCTGTTTCATTTCTGCCTCAATCCCCAAGATGCTGGCCAACATTTATAACCAGAGTTGGACCATTTCCTATTCTGAGTGCTTTGCACAACTATATTTTCTCCTTATGTTTGGTGGCCTCGACAACTGCCTTTTGGCTGTGATGGTGTACGACCGCTACGTGGCCATCTGCCAGCCACTCCATTACAGCACAGCTATGAGTCTCCAGCTCTGTGTATTAATGCTGGGCATGTGCTGGGTGCTCACCAACTGTCCTGCCCTGATGCACACACTGTTGCTAACCCGGGTGGTGTTCTGTGCCCACAAGGCCATCCCCCATTTCTACTGTGATCCCAGTGCTCTCCTGAAGCTCGCCTGCTCAGATACCCACATTAATGAGCTGATGATCATCACCATGGGCCTGATGTTCCTCACCACTCCCCTCATGCTGATCATTTTCTCCTACATCCGCATTTCCTGGGCCGTATTTGGCATCTCATCTCCTGGAGGGCGGTGGAAGGCCTTCTCTACATGTGGTTCTCACCTCACAGTGGTCCTGCTCTTCTATGGCTCTCTCATGGGTGTGTACTTACTTCCTCCGTCAACTCACTCCGCAGAGAGGGAGAAGAGGGCTGCCATTCTCTATATGGTAATTATTCCCATGCTAAACCCATTCATCTACAGCTTGAGGAACAGAGACATGAAGGAGGCATTGGGTAAACTTTGGGGTGGTAGGAAAACATTCTTCTTGCCATGACAGTGATGCCCGATCCTGGTATTCTGATCAACCCCTGTCCTCCATCATTTCAATAATTCCACCACTCTCGGACTGACTTTAAGGAAAGGTTATCAGGTAACTCTGAGTTAGGGGTGTAACAAAAAGGGTATTTCCACTTTTACTTGGCAGTAGAATGAGATGTTCTGCCTCAGTCTCTCTCCCGATCCCAGTGAAGAGCAGGACACCATTACCCCTCTTCATCTCTAAATCCAGGACATTAGCCAGAGTAAACGAAAATGTATGTATGACGTACACTCTGGAGCCGAGTAATTCTGCCCATGGCAGGGTATGGGGTGAGGTGAAGGGACGAGAATACAAACATTTATCCAGCACCTACGATGTTACTCATTGTGCTCCGTATTAGTTCTTTGGAAACTATGACTCCGAATGCTAAATAACTTTCTCAAACCAGGTAAGTTGGATTCTATACCCATCTTCTTTTTACTATACCACTTTGTGACAGATATTGAATGATCATAATAGGAAATAAAGAATTAAATTAATATATATTTTTATGTCATTTCCTTAATATTTTGTTTATTTAACTTAAAAGCATTCCTTTCTGTTATTTAATGGATAGCTGAAAAGGAGTCAATATTTGTTGCGTACATACTGTGTGCCAATTTTGTACTAAGTACACAATTCATTCTCTGGGTTCTTTCATAAAATATTTCCTAAAATAGATAAATCAAGTGTGGTGGAAATTATAGGTCAATAACTTGATGAAAAGTAGTTTGGTGGAAATTGGTGTTCTAAGAAGTCACAAACCTGGCAGTAGGATTATTACTTTTTATATCTCTATGTTTCAAAACATGTAGATATTTTTAGAACCAGGAAATGAAATTTGGGGGTTGGCACAAAAATGTTCCAATGACTAGCAAATCACTCCTGAGCGATAAAGAAGCACCCAAACAGAATTTTCCAAAGTTCAAGATCACATTTGTCCTGGACAAAGTGTTTTAAAAAGGACAGTGTGACTTTTAGATGTAGATCTTCTTTTAGAGGAAGAAGATTGTAAAGGAAAAAGATTGCATCTGCGTGCATTTCCCTTTGGCCATGCTCTCTTCTTCCCTCTATCCCTTCTTCCTGGATAGAAGGGGTGGGAACAATGAGAACTGGGGAAACCAGACTAGATTATCCTGACCTTGAATTAGGTTACCTGGACCTGACCACAGAAATCTACTACTGCCACTTCTAGTACCAAAGCAAAGATCAGAAAAAGCAAGTTTTGTGTTTGTTAGTAATATCCCCCTCTTGGTGAATTAATTTCCTACCTCTACTATGCTCACCCTAGCCCTCCCGTCATGCAGCGACATCATTCCGTTTGGCGTCTATTCAGTCTGCTCTCTGCCCTGTATCAATAAACTATCCTAGTGATTGTGATCAAAACTCCATTCCTGGAGCACTCAGCTAAATATGATTGTATCCCTTCAAAGGTATGCATTTGATTTGTAAATAAGGTTCATTCTTCCACAGGACCATTTGCACTTTCAAAGGTGAACTTTTAAAACCAAACAAATCTCAAATGGAGAGGATATTTCTGGAGACATTTTTGAGTTCAGAAAATGTGAGGTGCAGGAATATAGCAGAATACAGCATGGCCACTTCTCCTTTTCTTGTGTTTTCAACCACCTCTACCCCTTAAAAGACTCAGAACATAAAGAGGATATTGTTAAGGTAGAGGAAATGAGTTGGAAAAGAAGAGTGTATATATTCTAAATAAAAAAGTCACTGGTGCTTTATGCCCCTCCGCCCCCCGCCCCCAGACGTTATGTGCTTCATTTGACATTTTAAAACCTATAATCAAACTCGAATATGTTTTAATTAGGAAAAGCGTTTTCTTTGTAAATAAAAATTTAGAGACTTTCTATCATACCTAAGAATTCCACTATATTTTGTGGGATATAGATAGCTAATTACAATTCACAAAATTTCGAGAATGGAAATACTCCTTGGCATAGTACAGAATCATAATATAAAGACTTTGAGAAATAATATCATCCCAATTATATATTAAAATACCATTCGATAGTATATTTGGGGTTTTAAATGACAATAATTAATGTTATATAGAGGAAGGTAAGGGAGACACTTTCAAATACTGCTGGAAATGAGAATATAAATTGGCATAGACTTCCAGGGAATAGTTGATAATCTATAATACGAGCACTAAAAATATTTGTACCCTATGACCTACTCTTTTACTTCCAGGAGTTTGATCTAGGAAATAGTAAAAAAAAATATCGTCAAGAATTTATGTCTAATGATATTACTCATAAGAGAAAAAGAAACCATTCCAATTTTAGTTGTTGGGCTTAATCAATTTATGTTATATTGAAGTGATGGACTATTGTGTGGACTTTCCAATTATTTGATAATGTGTTTTTAATACAGAATAGAGTTAACATGAAAATTAATTATAATTGAATTTATTATTCATTATTCATAATACTTGGCCAATAAAACTTGAATAAAATACACCAAAATATTAAGAGTGGTCATCCGAAGATAATAGAATTATGCATGATCATCATTTTCTTTCTTCCACGTCAATTTTCAATTTGTATTTCCCATATTTTCTATGATAAAATATAACTTTGATAATCATAAATTTAAATAGATTTTTAAATTTTATATCAACTTATTTTAGCCAATATCTATACTTTGGTTATCTGGAGTTTGTTCTGGAGATAAAATCAATCTTTCACTTCTTTAAGAGAGAATTGCCAGCGAATTCCATGCTGTCAGCAAACAGATGCTAGATGAGGTTGTCATATATTCTGCTACAAGGAAGAGAGACAGAGGACTTCTTAGAGAAAATGAAGTATTTCGAAAATGAAAGTAATTTTCTTCCTTCTGTATTAGAATTAGGCTGTGATGTTTTCATTTGGGATTGAAGAAGTTTTCTATCTATCCACGTGAACATAAGGGCCTGGTGTCATAATTATTCCAGGATTAAGTCTACATTTTATTATGTATTGTATTAATCAAGGTCCTCGGTAGGGAAAAAGAAATCACCATTGGCATTTTAAGCAGAAATGAAGTTAAATCAGAGAATTAAGTGCTTGCAAAGTCAATGAAAGTGTTACAGAATCACAGGCTCTTGAATGAATCTCCAAAAATAATCTTAAGAACAGTAATAATCTGAGCTGTGTGGAGTACGTCTATCTCTTATGCAATCAGGAAGGAGAGGTATCAGAAGATTGCCACTGGAACCATTGAATTCAAGAATGTATCAGTGCAGCTGCAATCCCAGTATCAGGAATCAAAATCAAAACTACCTCTTGCCTCCCACTAACCTGATGACTGGACACAGAAAGGTGGGCTCCAGCTGCCACTCCCAATGCAACTGCCTCTGAGCATCTATGTACCTAGTAACTGGACTCCGTGAAGGCATCTGACAGTAAAAAAGGCCAAAAAATCTCAGGATGCCCTCCACCTCATTTCAATATCTCAAACTTCACATAAGTGCATTCGGTAGAACCTAATTCACATCCAGGACCTGAACTGCAAAGGAGTCTGGGAAAAGTATTCCTTTCTTCTTCCCAGCCTTTGACATAGGGGAAGGTACACTAGAACAAGATCAGAATGGAGAAGAGTACCAATTGATTATTTCTCCAACATTTATTAATAAAATCTTTTTTCCTTCCCTAAGTTAATATGTCTGATCTACAATAATTTGAGTTTTCATAATGTAAATAATCTACCTGAGGCTGAAGAAATTGTCACTAAAAAGGGCTAGGAGAAACATTCACTAGAGTTCATAAAAGGTTGGGAATAGTTTGTGTCCCAGCAACCAGAGTGGAAAAAGCCTGACACCAAATCTTCAAAAAGTATTCCCACAATAGTGGAGTCCAATTATCCATAGATGAAAGAGTGCTCTATTCATTTCCTAACAAAGCTTAAAAGAAGCCTTAAAAAGATCAAGTTTTTATTGTCATATCCAATAAAACCTGCATTCAAAAACAAAGTCCAACAATATTTAAATGAGTAAAAATAAACTTAAAATCTATACACCTAAAATTTAGTGTCTGACACTCAATAAAAATTACCAGGCATACAAAGAAGCAGAAACATATTAGTCATTAACCAGTGGAAACTGACATGGAAATAACAAAGATTAAAAAAAATTAAAAGAACGTGAAACGGTCATAAATAAATATACTCTATATGTTTAATATGGCAGAGGAAAACATAAATATCCTGGGAAGAAAAATATACAACACACACACACAAAAGAACACAAATTGAACTTTTGGGTTTGAAAAAATATACATAGAAAGTGAAAAATACACTTGATGGGTTTACCAGAAAATTAAATACCACCAAAGAAAAGATTCATGAATTTGAAGACATAATGAAACTATCCATAGTAGGGCTCTCATAACAAAGTACCACAAACTGGGTGGCTTAAAAAATACAAATTTATTGTTTCACAGTTCCGAAGGCTAGAAGTCCAAGATCAAAGATGTTAATAAGGGTGATTCCCTTTGAGGACTATGAGAGAATTTCTTTCGTGCCTCTCACCTAACTTTTGGTGGTGTTTTGGCAATCTTCAACATTCTTTCATATGTATAAGCATCACTCCAATTTTTGTCCTGATATTCCCATATGTTCTCCTTGTATGCACGTCTGTGTCCATATTTCCCCTTTATATCAGGATACCAGTCATACTGGACTAACTCTACACCACATATAAAATATAACTTTAAATGGGTCAAATGTGTAAGAACTACAACTATGAAACTATTTAAAAAAACATTGGACAAAATCTTGGTTAACATGTGGTAGGCAAAAATTTCTAAAACAGGATGAAAATACCATGACCAGAAAAGGACTTCATAAAAACAAAATGTATCTGCTCTTCAAAAGAAACGCTTAATAAAATAAAAAGGTAAGCCTCAGACTGGCAGAAAATATTTGCAAAACATACTTCTAATAAAGACTTGAATCCAGAGTATACAGAAAAGACAAGCAAC